CGGCCGTATCTAGAACCACAGCGTATAGCGCGGACCACGCTAAAAATTTATAATAAATCAAAAATGTCTGCGTCAAGCTCACTGCGGCACACTGCTGCGGGAGTATAACCAGGCCTAGTCCTCGACCCGGGTTTGAATCCTGCCTGTCGTCCTTTCCCAACTGTCTCTCCCTGTCTCTCATACTCCCTTTCCTGTCAGGCTACAGTTGAAAAAAAAACCCCCAGCCACTACTGCTGTAAAAACTAAAAAAATTATTAAATCTGAACGATTCCAGGAGAATTGAGAGGCTGGAAGTAGTCTCAATCGATTCCTGGCACCCCACCCAAAATACAAAGCAGCTAAAGTGATCTCTACAAAAAAGGTGGCATTTCGTTAAACCATCTGCGAAAAATGAAAGTGTAACTAAGATTATTTCATCCTATAATAGAAAAATTTTATCATCTCAGGCTTATAAAATACATGCCAACTATCATGCATCACTGTCATAAGGCACATCATTGATCTCAGGGAGAACTTATTATAAAATGTATCATAGTACCATTCACCAAACAATTCTTGCTTTCTTTTTTATCGTCAAATTATTGTCACGGTTGTAATAATATGTCTTGCCTGTACTATCACCTTTCCTCCTTTGGAACTGATTATTTTAATTAAATGCTGTCAGTCAATGATTTAAATACCCAGAACAGAGAATTTTTAAGCAATCATTTTTTGCTCTGGGTTTATTTAAGCAGGGTTTGATGTGTCTAAGTGTTTCCTAATCTAAAAATAAAAAGGTTTCAAGCAAAGCAGAGCTATAATGTGCCACCCCCAGGTTTTCAAATATACAAATTCATTGAGTTTCTATATGGAAAAACATTCAAACGACGGAAACATCAATTCCCTCTCATATGTACACCATAGACACGATTGATATGGGTTGTCTTTAGTTGTCAAAATAAAAAATAGTTTTATTTTCCGTTGATGTTTTAAAGAAAGGCGAAATCGGCACTACTGTAGCTAGCCCGAACATATACACATTGTACCATGCTAAAACATGCAACAATTCATTATTTAAGATGGTATTAACATATCCTACAAGAATGCACAGGCGGTTGTTAGTGTAATCTTGGGGAAGAGCAAATGTAGAACAATTTTAACTGCTTTACATATCGTATTTGGGAAATGACTTGCTCTCTTTGTGAGCGTATTGTAGTCGGAGCGGCTGACTTTAGCCTGTGCTAACTGACGTTACACCTGGTAGATCGGATCGTTCTGGGGTTTAATTAGAATGTCAGATAGCCACATCACTATATAAAAATCCAACTACAGATCTTAGGTTTGCCATTACTTACCGTAATCTCTCGTATATCAAAGAATACGGTGACTATAAAAGGATAAACCCAGCAGAAATCCGACGGGAAATTTTAGCCTGTTAGCTGAAACAGGCCCGATGGCTCCTTTTTTCTTCTTCTGTTTCCATTTTGTCACGGTGTAGTTAACGTTCGGGAGCATTACCGCCACCTTGTGGTTCTTCGGCTCTATAGACAAACATATGAGGATACCTGCGAACCATATTTGTAGTTCTGACTTTACAGAATTTTGTCTCTAAGGCCACATAAGGTCTTAAATAGATCTAATATAATAAAAACATTAACAAGTACGTGTGAGTTTAATACAACCACCAACAGTTGGATATAACTGTATTTTTTAATAAATGTTTTTGCTTTTTAAAAACTAATTATTACCTTGGTAGTCTGTTGTAAAATAGTTTTTAAGTCAGGTTCCTGTTGTAGTTCTGACTTTACAGAATTCTCTAACTAAGCCTACATAAGTTCTTAAACAAATCTTATATACGGAAAAAAATAAATATAAAAAATATCAAACAAACCAATTCCCTAAGTGTGAGTTCAACACTACCACTAAAATTTGGTTGGGCTGCAGGGGACTAGAAAGACTTCGGAAGGTGAACTGTAGAGCCCCTGGGCATTGGAACACTAAAGGAATGGTTCTGATTGACAACAATCAGACATCTCAGTCTAAAAATGTGTAGTTCCAGCCAATCTTTTAGAAGGATGGTGGATAGGGATCTCTTTAGATTTTGTTCTGAAATATTGCTGCCTTGTAAGTTAAAGGAAGTCTTACCTGGAAATAACCATGCATACTAAATCAAAAAAGTTGAAAAAGGTATAAAAAAAAATATTTAAAAAACATGACCTGGATGACAGAATCTTTACCAGGACATGCATATAGAATAAAGTTAGCAGAGTGCATTTAAACATTACCAAAACTATCCAAGTGCAGGTGGATAGGGAGTCTGATGAGGCTGCTGTCCCAGTGACCCGACCCTGCATAAGAGGAGGACGCCAGTGCGTTTGGGATAAGCATATTGAGATGGTTAAACAGCGCACTCAGCTGGCCAGAAAATGTACAACAAACAAAAAAATACGACAAACCAAACCTCACCCAGAATGATAAAACTAGGCAACTTAATTGCCAAATCCATTTCTAAAAAAAAAAAGGACACACAAACACACACACCCACACATAGTAGTTTGTGTTCCTCTGTGCATACATACATATATATTTTTTACATGTATATTTTTTCAAGTTATCAGATGCAATTACCATAAAAATGTCATTGATTCATGTATATTACATGTGCATAATCTGAAAGGGTCACCAGTCCATTGCAGGGCCACACAGAAACAAACAGTACAAACACAATCACACCTAAGGAGAGTTTAGAGAAACCAATTGACTCAACAGTCCTGTTTTTGGACTGTGGGCGGAAACCGGAGTACCTGGAGAGAACCCACGCATGCTCAGGAACCCGGAACCTTCTTGCTGCAAGACAGCAGTGCTACCAAGCGTGCCACTTAGCAGCCATGCACTCTACGCAATAGTTTGATACTGAGATACATGTTTCAAAGCATACTTCAAAAAACATTTCACAAAGTTCTGCTTTCACTTTAATAAGCATAACTTTTCCTTCCTTCCTTCCTTCCTTCCTTCCTTCCTTCCTTCCTTCCTTCCTTCCTTCCTTCCTTCCTTCCTTCTCTGCATATACTCTTGATATGTGATAACTTATCTAACAGGTTTTATTGTTCCGTAAAACAATAAACCTTTATTGGTAGACTTTGCAGGACAATGTATTTAGTATATCTGAATGCATGTCAGAGCTAAAGAAATCTGAGCTGACCTATCTATGCACATTGAGAGTACATGCACAATAGCTCGGACATAAAAGTAAGGGTTAGGATACATATATGACATTGTTTGTACATGTTTCACAACTTGTATTTTGTATTACACAAGTGAAGGGGAGAAATGGGATTTTGAAACAGATATCTGTTTGTAGAAAAGCGTTTGGCAAGCAATGTTTTATTTCCTTTTACTTTGGGTTATACAGCATTTTGTATTTCTCTATTCTGTACAATATACAAAAATATCACTGCAATATTCTTCAGCAACTGTTTTTGGCATTACCCAACTCATGTTGGTGTGGTTTGGTAACAGCAGTGCACTGAGTCTCAAACACTGTACAAAATTCCTCTAAAATATAATGAGAGACTATCAGCATTTAACAAAATACAATTAAAGTTATGTCGAAAACTGAAACACAATGAATACACAAATAAAACCATGGCAGTGATTCAGGTATAGGCAACATTAAAAGCTATGTTAACTGAAAATGGCATAATGCAGCTGCTTACATCAAACTTACAGAAAGGAGCAAAATGTGTTGCTAAATCCATTTACCGGTAGTCATTCCTGGAATAGTAATTTGCACACATCACATCAATCAGTTTTGATTATCAGAGCCAACCGTAAAATCAGAAAACCGGGATTTGCAAAGTGATTTTCTAAGTACTTTGGTTCAGGAATTTACTCTTAAATACCTCATTTGTTTTTTCATTGGTGCATCCTACTCCGTAAAACTATTACACAATGACAGAAACAACAATATTACAGTGTAATTTACCACAAGAAAACAGACTGAAAATACAGGAATTGAAAAACAACAAATGTATAAATGTACAACTAA